GACTAGTACGGGAATACTTAAGGAAATGGAACAATGCGATGAATAGAGAATAGACTGATACGGAATTTCGTCACTTCACGACTTAAGCAAATACAAACAAGATGAGCGCAACATCGGTCAAACGACCTAAGAGTATGCAAAATGGGTTGCTTGCTTATGAGTGTTGCAACGAAACTGGCATCGTAACGAAAAGCAATAAGAGAGATTAAAATTTGCATTTTATAGCGATTACGTTTCAACGTAATTGATTTAGCCTAAAACTGTGCAAGCGAGATTTCTCTCTTCAGAGGACACTTACTCGCATAGACTAATGCTTTTGCAAGCTGAAATAATTGAGCGGAAAGTACATTATGTTGACGGGACTAGCGGTTTGATCAGCTGAAACGTCTGGTTCATATTGAAGCGATCAAAAAGCATTCCAATTTTGAGGCTATTAACTGAGGCCCGTCACTTCACAGCTGATAAGAAACAACGTCGTTATCAATTGATTAGTTCCAATAAATTTAACAGCAGCAGTGAAAACAATCTCAGACTGATGATTTGTTCAGCGATACGAATGTTTCGTTATCTTAGCATGATTCACTGATAACGAATATGAATTGGTGAGTGAGAAACTGGAGGAACAATTGTAAACGTGTGCAAACTTCTTTTCAAATGAGTTCAGAAACATAGCTTTCATCTGATAAATTCAAAATAGCTGATGAATCGCATGTTAGCATCGTATTTGCCAATAAGCGCTTGATCACAGCTTATTGATCGACGAATTGATCTAATTGGAAAAGCGTTGAAGCTATGAATGTTTGCAAATGAATTGCTTTCAATCAGAGCACAAATATCGTTTGAAATAAACAAATCGAATGTGATGCATCAATGTTTTCAAGCCAAACAAACATTCAAAATTTCCTATAACCATATACTGAAATATCGATCAAAAGCAGCGATAATGCAGCTAATAAGCAATTTCACAAGCTCAACGTTATTCATAACATGGCTGACATAATGAAATTGCATTAATCAAACGTAATGAAATGAAACTGAATAATTAGAAGATGACAAATGTGATCACGAATGTCTCAATATAAATTCACGCAACCAAAATTCATTACTGACATCATTAGTACTGTTATCAGTTTCAGTGTCAAATTAGTGTAACTAAACACGTATGCTTCTTCCTCGTATATACAAAGATACCAATAACCACTGAATGCTGATAGGACTGACTGAACAGAATCAAATTCAAGGTAATGTTATACCACCAAACAAATGGGCGAAGTGCAAAAACGCTATCGATTAACATTTCTGATAAAATGACTAATAATAGCTACTATCATAGCTCTGCTAACCATTCTCCCTCTCCTCTCATTGATACGAATAGCATTGCTTTACATAGATAACATTACACGATCAGATCACTGTTGATAGATACAATTCATTACTGTAATTATCATCGATGATCTTAAGTGTTCACAAAAAGTCGCAGAAAAAACCCAGCCTATGCTTTATGTAAATAGTAAAATACTAGTAAGAGATAGTTTAGAGCAGCAACATCTCTTGAGCTAGAGCAGCCGGCACGATTTGAATGAATATATATATATCAGCGATGTAAAATGTAAATGAAAATGCACATATGAATACATTTATTTGTTGTAGATGCTCGTCGGTCTTACATATTCTATTTGATTTGATGCTATATTCATCAATTCAATTCAATATTCACAGTGTATACTGAAATCACAAACATAAGGCATAAGGCCACAATGAGCACCACCATTCAACGGACTTATACAATGTTGGTTGTTGGCTTTTTGGATGGGCTTTGTTTCGTTCGCTACAGCTTTGTAGCATAAACGAGTATGTAAAGTGTACGCTTGTTGAATTCGCTTAAGCTGAGATAGATTAGAATATATATTACAGATCGATTTCAGTCATAGAGCAGATAGAGCATATTATGGTTGTTGGTTACTTGAATGAATGTTCACCGAGTGAGATTGAAAAGTCAGACCGAGTGGAACAACTAACCATTTGACGAAGGTGGTGGCTGTGGCTAATGCTTATGCCTAGAGCAACAACTAACAACTTTGACTAGTAACTATACATTCATTAGTGAGAACTCATTCGTACTGCTCATACAAACAGCTGATAATGGGTTTATACTTGAAAATATACGAGGAGTTGAATCCAGGGTTGGGTGAACGATGATTGGAGTAGTAGCACATAATGGTTGCTATAAGGACAGCTGAGAATCTCCCATTGTAACAAAGGCTGGCTGACGATTGATTGAACTCTTTCAAGATGGAAGGATAAAGGGGTATATAGGAAGGATAGGGATAAAGTCAGTAGTCGTCATGTGCAGAGGACAAATGAGATGAGAAAGGCGTGCAAGCAGCAAAGGATTTGAGATTAGATAGAATGCTGATTATGAGCAAGCATAGAGATCGAAATTAAAATGTGCTGTTGCTACTTTAAGAAGCCTCGATGCACACATTGTACTCGATTATGGTATATGTCCAAGCGTATGCATACAAACGATGGACGACGGACGATGTCTTTATACGAATTTTGATCATCAGCAGTGGATAATAATGAATGAGTGAGTAGATATCGGACATAATAATTTCATAATGTGCAGAAGAGATATAGATATTCAATTGTGCATTATTCAATTCTCAGTATTCAACTCGCTCAATGATGTGTCGCTTTGGTGACGTTAGTAGCCGTTGACGTCAGTTGAAATTGTTTTTTATCAAAAATGCTAACAACAGTAAGAATAAGGACACTGAGGATGGATGGATGCTTGGCGACGGAATTAATCGGGCAAATGCGGAACAAATGTCAAAAGAGACGAAACCAAGAGGAGGAATACGAAGAGATCGAAGAGATAAAATGCAAAGAGGCGAGACTTTAACGAGTTAAAGCGAATGCTCTAACAAGCATCGAGCAAAAAATCAATTGAGGAACGAATGAGGCAATCTTTTTCACAAGACCAACGTAGAGGCATAAATGACAAATTAGAATTCCAATGAGTAATAGCAAGGAAGACATAAGTGAATAAATCAGCCAAAAATAATGAATGATTAGAAAGAAAAATATTTCTGAAGTTTTATTTTGCAATTGTAATAATATCAAGTGGTGTTTGTTGTTATTGTGTGTGTGTAATGAAATACGATGTGAAGCGATACCTTGAAAAGAATATTTATTGTGGATGAAATACGAATAACGTTTATAAATTATCAGTTCGATGAGGAAAAAATAAACAATTACAACTGAAATATACACTGAAGCACAGAGGGATGGATTTTTTTCTTAAATTTCTACAATGGATTATGCTCACCTGCAGTTGAATGATAAATCAGTGATGTTGAAAAGTGCATAGCGATATTATTGTTACAATGCAATAGTAATGATTCATATTCACAAAATTTTTGTTTCGAAAATTCTGCTGGAATATCTTCTCAGCTGAGGGATTCAAACTGAAACTTATTGCTAGCATTAAGCTCAACCAATCGCGGATAAGACTGCCTCAATCTCAACTTTAGGCAAACGGATAAACTTAACTAATGGGCTGGAAACTAGTCATAGGTTGAGCTAACAATAACC